CTCTGTAAAAGCCACTTCCTTCCCTTGCCCTGGGGGACCTGCACATGGTCCTTAGTTATAGATCCAGAATTCCAATTCTCTGCTGAGCCCAATTTTTTTTTTTTTTTTGGCCATGCCAAGTGGCTTGCGGGGATGTTAGTGCCCTGACCAGGGGTCAAACCTGGTCCCTCTGCAGTGGAAGCACAGAGTCCTAACCACTGGGCCACCAGGGGAGAGTAAACATATTTATATATAACTCGTATCTGGACACACCTTTCCTCCAGCTACGAAATACAAAAAAGGAATCTGTAAGGGACTAAAAACAACTGCATGCAGATGGAGAGAATGGACTTGTAGACACAGGGGAAGGAGGAACTGAGAGAGTAGCTGTGACGCATACGCTGTCAAGTGTAAAATGTAAAGAGGGCTTCCTCGGTGGTTCAGTGGTAAGGGACCCGCCTGCCACTGCAGGAGACAGAGGAGACAAGGGTTTGATCCCCAGATGGGGAAGATTCCCTGGAGTAGGAAATGGCAACCCACTCCAGTATTCTCGCCTGGGAAATTTCACGGACAGAAGAGCCGGGCAGGCTACAGTCCATTCGGTCACGAGTCAGACACTCCTGAGCGACTAAGCACGTGTGTAAAATAGATGCCCAATGATAAGTTACTATATAACACGAGCCCAGCCTGGTGCCCTGTGATGACCTAGAGGGTTGAGACAGGGGAAGGGGAGGGAGGCTCAAAATGGAGAGAATGTATACATATAATTATGACTGATTCACATTGTTATATGGCAGAAACTAGCACAACATTGTAAAGCAATTTTCCTCTGATTAAAAAATAAATTAAATAAATAAAAATAATTGTGTGTGTACCCAGTTGGGGCAAGTTCTGTACCCAGACAACACAAACAGACCAAAAAACCCAAGTGCCACTTTTTTTTTTTTTCCAAGTGCCACTTTTAAAGACCGGATGTTGAGAACAAAAGCAGGGTACGGTGCACACGCCCTGCACACACAACCACCCAAGGGGTGGGCAAACCATCTAAGCCACCACCCCTCTGGCCCAACCCCTGGACACACCTCTGCCCTGACCCCATATAAGGAACAAGCGTGCCCCTCCTCGGGGATCAAGCAAGCAAGAGTTCCTTCTGGCCCCCAGTAAAGCCTTGCCTGAATTTCTTATCTGGCTTCTGATCAATTTCTATTGATTAAAGAGGCCAGGAACCCTGAGCAGTAACTGTTACTTGTGCTATACAGTAGGTCAAATAAAACCAGTTTTACTGTTGAAATAGCTGGCCATCTGTTTGTTTCAGGTCCACACAAGAAAGCATGACTGTTAAACCGGAAAAATGCAGTCAGCAGAAACTACCTTGTGGGCGTGGTCAGATGCTGGATTTAACAAACACCTAAAAGGAGTCCTGAAGTTGACACTTTCAATTTTTTTTTTCCAAAATTCAAATTCAGAGGCCGTCGCAGTAGGACTAGAACTGGAAAATGTCTGCTCCACGGTTCCACTGGTAATGACACAGGCCCTGGTGGCCTCCGTGGGACAGTTTCAGTGGGGAGGTAGGTAAAGAAACCAGCTTCAGAGAGAATTGGTAACAGTGTGGATGTCCCAACAAGAACGAGATGAAAAGGAAAGGGTAATTAACAGTGACAGCTCAAGAGGTTCTGTTTGACTTTGTTTTGCTTTTTAGGATGAGCTCTTTGGGATATATTCATAGCCCAGGGGGGCTTCCTAGGTGGCGACAGTGGTAAAGAATCCACCTGCCAATGCAGAAAACACAAGAGACAAGGGTTCAATCCCTGGGTTGGGAAGATCCCCAGGAGTAGGAAATGGCAACCCACTCCAGTATTCTTGCCTGGAAAATCCCACGGACAGAGCAGGCTAGAGCAGCCTGAAGGCTACAGTCCATGGGGTCACAAAAGAGACGGACACAGCTGAGCAGCTGAGCACACACGCATAGGCCAGGACAAGGACCCTGTAGGTCGGGAAGGGACGGCTACCAGAGGGCGACCCAAAGATTTGGGAGCACACAGCAGAGAGGCCGGCTTTTACAGGAGGAGAGCTTGGGCGGGTGCAGGTGAAGAGGCGTGGACTAACACATTAGGTGCCCTCACCGGATGAATCACATTTCTACACACATTAGCAGATGCGCTAACTGCCTTTTGTCCCAGACTCTCTTTCCAAGAATGTTGGTATACAGCAAACTGTCTTGGAAGATAAAGATAATACCCCCATCTGGAGCAGAGGACAAATTTTCTTACTTCCAGGCTAAGTGTTTTTTTCTCCTCTCTTTAAAAAAAGTCTTTTGGAAAAAAAAAAAAAAGTCTTTTGGCAGTGCCCTGTAACAAGATCTTCATTCCCTGACCAGAGATTGAACTCGCATCCCCTGCATTGGAAGATCAGACTCTTAACCTCTTCACCACCAGGGCAGTCAATTTTTAATGCCTGCCTCGAGGGAAATGGCAGGTTTGCTTGCAGCCCATTGTAAAAGATTCTGGTTTCCCTTGTTCAAGTTTCCTCATCAGTGGGGCAAACCCACTGTATGTGCAGCAAACCCGCTGTGTGGCCCCTTTTGGGTCCCTCTGCCTCACCTTCTTGGGGTCTGAGGAGCAAGGGGGCACCATCATGAAGTTCATGTTGCTCACTGTGCCACCAGTAATCAAGTCATTCATCTCTGACCCCAGAGTCTCATGTCTTCTGCCAGCATCCATAAAACTGTAGCAGGCTGATCTGTTAGCCTGATCACAGGGTAAACCTCAGACCCATCACGTTCTGGCCAGGAGGTGCCTTTGTAATTAGGGGCCTGGGAAATTGAAGCTCCCCTCTTGGAGGTATGGCAGGGAGAAAGGAGGCTTGAGGTGACATCCTGGAATCCCTGTTGGGCAGGATGGAAGCTGGAGCTAACCAAGGACGGGGAAATGGCTGGTGTGGTGAGCCCAGCTGATGCCCAGTGGGTACCATTCTACTCTGGAATGAAACAGTCTCCAGCCAGCAGCTCCCAGCCAGGCCAGGGAGTGGGCAGCGTAGGGGAGGGGACACTGCACAGGCCGATCAGAGTGTGAATCCAGGTCGGAGCTCTGCTGGGCGGAAAGCCAGGAACACAGGAGAATCTGGGTTACGATGAAAGTAGCTCTCAGATTATGACCCCCAGGGGCCTGGCTGGAAAGGAAAGAAAGCTTCAGGGAGAGAACTGACATGCCGGGAGACAGTGGAGGAGTGAGGACACGGGAGGCTGCAGACAGGAAAGAGAACACCACGTGGTAGATAGGAAGCTCTGGTCTTAGTGGAGTATTACCTTTTAAAAATATATGTATTAAAAAAATTAAAATTTATTTGGCTGTGCAGGATCTTAGTGGCAGTATGAGGAATCTTTTTAGTTGTGGCACTGGGGACCTTTAGTTGTGGTATGTGGGATCTAGTTCCCTGACCAGGGATCAAACCTGGGCCCCCTACATTGGAAGCTCAGGGTCTTAGCCCCTAGACCACCAGGGAAGTCCTGAGGTACTTGCCTTTTAGTCACTGGAGGTGGACCCAAATCCTTAACACAGATGTGCTTGTGTGCATGTTAAGTCACTTCGGTGGTGTCTGACTCTTCACGACCCTATGGACTGTAGCTTTCCAGGCTCCTCTGTCCATGGGATTCTCCTGGCAAAAGTACTGGAGTGGGTTGTCATGCCCTCCTCCAGGGGATCTTCCCCACTGGGGGATCAAACCCCAATCTCCTGCGTTGCAGGAGAATTCTTTACCATCTGAGCCACAAGGGGCTGGGGGTAGGTTTGGGACTTAGGGACTTAGAGAGAGGTCTGATGTTTTATCACCCCCTGAGGAAATGGGAGAAGGTGCTGATCAAGGGATAAGTAACAGAGACAGGGATTTGGGGGATGGAAAACCATAAATATTAAACGACTTGAAATCATCAGTTTAAGTGGGTCCGACAGGAGAGTAGCCAGGGGCGGCATTTTTTAAATAGTGTGAATTGAACCTGAAGGACCTGCTCTGCCCTAGAGCAGAGGCTCCAGCAAGTCTTCCCCAAAGCCTTGCAATTAGACAGATACCTGCTGCTGCACCCAGGCTTGTCCTTCACATGAGGATCGGGGCACGGTTGGGGGTGGGTGGGTTGCAGGTGCCTGTCATCCTTGCATTTGCTGACAGTTCAGGGTCTAGGGTATTTCACAGGTTTCTGGGGCCAGGATGATGTCCACCAGAGAACACAGTTTCTCATCTACTGCTCACCCCTGGAAAGGCTCTGCTTCCAGGGCACGGGTGCCTGGACTTCTCCGGGCCTTCCTGGTGACACCTGAGCCTCTGCTACACCTTTCAGGTGTCTCTGGGTTGCTGAGATCTCCAGGTTGCCCCGGGTTTGTAACAGGGACACATTATGACTGAAGGCTCTGGCCAGTCACCAAATGAGGGAGACGGACAACCTCAGTTCTCCCGACCTTCCCATCCCGGACAGGCCCCCTGCCTCACCCCCTCCAACTCCACCCGGGGTCTGAGCGGTCGGGGTTTAACCCTCCATGCTCCCCGCCCCTCCCACGGGCCTCGGGTGCCAGGAAGCCGTCAGCCCGGGTAAGGGGTCGGGGGCGGGGTGGGCGAGGGCGCAGTGCGCGGCCCAGGCGGCAGGTGGCGGCGTCTCCCTGCGCCCCGCGGCCCCACGGAGCCCCCGGACCGCGCGCGCGCCCGCCCTTGACCGTACTGGGAAGCGCCCTGCCCAACACCGGCGTCTCTGGGCTGGGCCGTCCAAGTGCAGAGGACCGAGAGAAGCGCCTGAAAGGCGCAGGCAGCTCCGGGTGCCGGCGCGACACTCTCGCCTCCGGGACCCGCCGCACAGCCCCCAGGGGTGCGGCGGCGTCCGGAGCCCGGGAGCCGGCAGAGGGGGAGAGGCGGGGCGGGAGGCGCGGCGGGGCCGGGCGGGGCCGGACGGCCGACTCCGGGAGTCCAGCCCGGCGCACCCGGGCCTCTCCTCTCCGCCCGGGTCGGCTGCCGACGGGACGCCCACGGGCCGAGGCTGCATGGGGCTCCCGCGTGGCCGGCTCTTCTGGCCGCTGCTCCTGCTCGCGGCTGTCAGCTCAGGGATCCTGGTCGCCCTGTACTCCTCGGCGGTGGAGTTGCACCTGGGGCCCCGCACCGGAGCCAGGTAGGAGCTGCCGCGCGGGACCTGTCCGGAGGGCGCAGGGGACGCGCCGGGCGCCCAGCCCGGGGCCGGGCCGCCCTCTGGGGAGGCTTGCCGCGGGGACTTGGGCTGCGGCCCTTTGTACCCAGAGCCTCCACCCCGGCGTTAAACTCGTGCTACCAGGGGTCCCACAGCTGCTGCCGTATCCAAGAGGAGCTTCGCCCCTTGCGCACCGGAGATCCACTCCCGACAGCTTTCTGCTGACTTCCCTCCGGCCCTGATTAGAAACACTTTCATTTGCCCAACTTTGGCTGGGACATCGGAATCAGATAAAATCAGTCCCGGATTTCCAAGAAGTGTCCCTCGCTAACGTCACATTTCTCAGATTCTACTTTGGGGGCAGGGACCCAAGTCTCCCAGGTCCAACGTTGCGCGCGCGGCTCCTCAGCCAGGCGGCGGCAGGTCGCGCCTCTCTGGCTCGTTGTGGTCCCCGCCCTCCCCGCGTCCGGCTGGCTTCTCTCCTCCTGCTCTGTTTCGTTGTTTATTTTGATAAGCCCCGTCTGGGCGCGATCCGGTGAAGAGGTGGACAGGGGCCCACCTTGGGCTCCATCCAGGTTTCCCTCCCTGAGCTGCTCCTGCTGCGCTGCGCTCCCCCTCGCTGACCCTGGGCACCTTCCTTTCATTTGTGCCCCAGGAGGAGAAACCTGAGAGCCTGCCTTTGGTAGGTCAGGGTTCCAGTTACTGAAGAAACCGTAAAAGGGATTTAGCTTTACTTCTGGAAGGTGGACCGAGCTGTGCCCAGCATCTGGATTTGTGAGGCCCCATGGGTACCTACTGCCTGGTGCAGAGGCCTCTGGGCCCTGGCTTTCCCTTCCCAGTGCTTTGCCACACACACAGTCCTCACTAAAGAGAATGAAGTCAGAATTAGTGTCTGCTCTCAGGAATGGGGCTCTACAGGTGGCTCGGTGGTAAAGAATCTGCCTGCCAAGCAGGAGACTCAGGTTCAATCCCTGGGTCAGGAAGATACCCTGGAGAAGGAAATGACAACCCACTCCAGTATCCTTGCCTGGGAAATCCTATGGACAGAGGAGCCTGGCAGGCTATAGTCCATGGAGTCACAAAAGAGTCAGACACTCAGACAGGACTTAGCAACTAAAACACAAAACCAAAAACACTCAGGAAACAAAGTCAAAGGGCACCCAGTGTCGCAAAACAATATGAAACACGCTTGCCATTGATTATGCGTCCCCTCCGTTTAGAACCAAAGGTGCTCTAGCTGGCAACACCTGAAGTTAACTTTGCCTCCTTGGAGTCAGGCATTGCATGAGGAGAAGGACTGAAAAGGACTGAAGGTATTAAGAAAGGAGATCCGTATCCGTTTTCTGTAAAGATTTTTTGAAACACACTTATTTGAACATCCTTCAAAAGTAACTAATACCACTATAAATATGAGGTTGACTGAACATCCATTATACCTCAACAAAGCTTTTTTAAAAGACCTTTCATGTTTTAAAAATCTAGTACGACCTGACCATATCCTTGATGTTTTGGTGATGTTTGCATTTTAGCTAAACCCCAGGGGCCAGGTCCAGACTCAGCCTCATTAGGAGCTGGACAAGCAGAGGGGCAGGTGGGATGGAAATCTGAGCAGGGCGAGCAGGCTGTGTGACCCACTCACCTGGGGATCAGTGGGGAGTCCAGGGGAAGCCGCTGTGCTGGGACCAGGCCCGGCACACTGGAGATGGGAGGTGAGGCTCTCCTTGCCGGTTAGTGGGTGGACTTGGTCCAATCAGTAGTTCCCGGGCTTGGGATTTCTAGACTTGTTTTAGAGTGGGTTGCCATTTCCTCCTCCAGGGGATCTTCCTGACCAAACCATTGTCTCCTGCATCGCAGGCAGATTCTTTACCACTGAGCCATCGGAGAAGCCTTATTCCCAGGGTGGTGTCTAAAAGCCTTTGGATTCTGGGGGAGGGTGTCGGGGGAGTCTCTTGAGCAGAAGGGGTGCTCTGGAGAGGAGTTGGCCTTCCTGAGACCCGAGCGATTCAGGGCTCCCTCCTGTTTCTATTCCGCCCATTCAGCAGTTCCTCTGTCAGGTTCCAAGCCTGGCTGCACATTAGAATCACTGGGAGGAAGGGATGACAGTGGGGGAAGGGGGGTTGAATCACTGGAGACCCAGAACCATCCGATCAGAATTCTGGTGTTTTTCAAAAGTTCCCTGGGGGTTCCTGAAGGCCACCTGGGCTGAACACCAAGGTCCCAGTTCCTCCTCCGAGAGGAGCTACAGGGTTTCGTGGTTGGCCGATTTGGGTTGAGGAGGAAAGGGGATCGCTCTGCTTTTTCTGGCCTGCTCTTCCAAAGTCTTTCACAACCTTGAACGCAGGTGGGTCCAGGCGCCCTTGTGGCTCAAACGGTCTTGGTGCCTAGAAGCAAGTCACTGGAAGCCTTTGTTTCCTTCGAGACTGCTGATCTCAGATCCTCCCCACCTGCTCCCTCGGGGTTGTAGGGGAGGCGGGAGGAGTAGCCTGACCACCCATTGAATGGATAGGGGCTCCTGTTCCTTCCTGTTTGCCCTCAGCCCAGCTGGCTCAGTGGTAAAGAATGTTACTGCTGATGCAGGAGCTGCGGGTTTAATTCCTGGGTCAGGAAGATCCCCTGGAGGAGGAAATGGCAACCCACTCCAGTATTCTTGCCTGGAAAATCCCATTGACAGAGGAGCCTGACATGCTACATACAGTCCATAGGGTCGCAAAGAGTCAGACACAACTAAGCGTGCGTGCACACACACACACACACACACTGGTGCAGGAACCACCTAGCACCTGGAAGGTGGGGGTGGGGCAGTAACCTAGACCCTTCCCTCCCTCCAGAAGGGTCAGTGTCGTTGCGGCTGTCACAGGGTCCCTTCCCTTTGCCCTTTAGGTTACAATAGCTAATATTTAGAAGACATTTCTTACAGAAGATAACACAGACTCTGTTTGAAGGCTCCCAACAACAGTGCAGGCAGGGCTTTACTGGGGCCCCTGCCGCAGCAATAGGAAGCAAAACCAGTACCAGGTTCTCTTGCTTGCTCCCTGGGGTTTGTGGGGGAGGACTCGGTGAGTTGGTTCCTTCTACAGGGTGACAGTAGCGATGGGCCCGGGGGGTCGGGCCAGAGAGGTGGCTTAGGTGGCCCACCCTAGTGGTGCCATGTGCAGGGCACATGTGCATACCTGCTTCTGCTCAGATTTTGGTCTTTCTGTATCTCTTTGTTCATAATTTGCCCCAACTGCCACATGCACTCAGTTACTCTGAGTCCCTTGTAGTTTATTTTGCATTTTGTTGCTCGAGGAGATGTTTCTCCAAGTGCAAGCACTGCAGCAAAGGGTCCCAGGCCCTAGCCTGTCTCAATCTGACCATCTTCGTACCTGCATGATCATCCCTGCTGAACAGACACAGACACTGAGCTTCTAAGAAGTTCAGTGGCTTCCAGAGATCCTGGAACCCAAACCCACGGAGTCGGGCTTTGGCCCCACCCCTTTCGCCAGGTGAAGGGGGCCCAGGGCACCTGGGATCTAACACCTGTTTCTGGGGCCTTAACAGGGAGACCGCTCAGATGGTCATGAGCCCAGGGCGCTGGCAATCTTTCCTATTTTATATTTTCCTCTCTTAACCACCATCTCACTGTTCCCATACATTCCACATTTCAGCCACTTGCCAAGGGGCTAGGCAGAACAGGTGATATATATTTGTGCCCAAAGAGAGAGAGATGAGCAAGAATCAGAGCATAGGGGGAAAAAATAAAAAATCAGACCCTGATGGACGGTCAGCCTCCAGAGTTACCGGAGGAGCATGCTCCACGGGCAGGTCAGACCCCGGCTTTACTTCCACCTTCTCCCCCAGGAACACCACATCATCGTCTCAAGCTTTCTTCGGACCCAAGGCATCGAATTCTAGGACAAGAAAGGTACAGTGGCGGGCTACCCTGTGGCAGGGTAGGAGGGGAAAGAAAAATGGGAATGAGAACATTCTTGTGAGCCAGCTGGGCGGGAGCCCTCTGGAAACCCCTCCTCTTCTCCCCCCACCCCACTACATCCCCCTCCCCACCCAGAGAATGGAGCGCAGAACTGAGGGGCCAGCCAGTCAGCACTCTTCAGACCTGACCACTGAGATCCCTGCACCCCAAAAGCAGAGAAACATGACTCCATCTTTACTCCTTGGGGTATAGCCAGCAGAAAAGTTCTTGCAAATCTTGATTTATCTTTAAAAGTTCTCTTTTACATTCTACTCCTCAAAGTGTCTTTTTATTGTAAAACTCACATTTAAACTGTGTGCGTGCGTGCATGCTAAGTCACTTCAGTCATATCTGACTCTTTGCAACCCTCTAGACTGTAGCCCTCTGTCCATGGGATTCTCCAGGCAAGAATACTGGAATGAGTTGCCATGCCCTCCTCTAGAGATCTTCCAGACCCAGGGATCAAACCTGCATCTCTTACATCCCCTGCATTGGCAGGAGGGCCCTTTACCACTAGCACCACCTGAGAAGCCCTTTAAACTGTTTACCATGAAGTACACGCCCAGCCCAGGGAGCTCCCCCGCTCTAACAGAGCACACTGACCGTGGCCCAACAGGCCATCTCAAGCATCTTACCTGCGCTCTCTCACTTAGACCTGTCGGCACAGCTGGGAGGCAGCTGTTACAGTAAAATGAGGCACAGAGATGCCCTGCTCAGGTTACCCGTGGGGAAGAGGTGGCACAGGGATTCAGGCCTCTCGTGGGACCCCGGGGCTGGCTCTGAACTCCCGAGCAAGGCGCCCTCACACTCTGCGGGCTACAGTTGAGTGGCATGATGACTGTGTAGTTCTAGCCTGATCCCGGTTTAAGAGTTGTTTTTCATGCCCAAGACACTGGAACTTGTTAACTGAGGTCTCATGGGGGCCAGATCTCACCACACGCAAGACTGAGTGACTGCAGAGCTGTCAGCGGCCGAGCGAGCTGCCCCCCCAGCAGGCGATGGAGACCCCAGCCCCACCGCCCCAGGAACAGAGGTCAGGTGGACACCTGGCTGGCTGGCTGAAGAAAGGCCTCAAGCGTCTTAAAGCACTTGGCCAGGTCATCTTTACTTTTCCTAAAGTCCTTTTTACCTTGAGCTACTTGATGCTAATTGACATATTTCCTCACCTGGTTTAAAAACAAAAGGATTTGAGCTTTTATCTTTTGGATATATATGACGTGGGGGAAAGAAAAAGAATAAAATGAAGAAGTAGGTAAAGGAAAAGTAAAGGTAATAACGTTAGACAGTGTCAGATAAGTGCATGGAAAATATGCCAGAGGGTGTCAGAGATGCACTCTGAGCTTCCCTGTGGAAAGCTTGCCACCCTGTCCATGAGATAAAAGCAAGCCAGCTGCCCAAGCCAAGTGCAGCCTTTCTGGATACGGAGATCTGAAGACTTTTCTCTTGGAGCCTTGTAAAGGCGGCCCTGGAAAACATCCCTACGATGAACTGAAGTGTAGTGAAACTGATGCAGTCAGTTCAGCTTAATGCTTGCTTTTAAAGCATGAATTTGGTCCATAAAGATTGCTATGGGAGTAAAACAAGTTGAGCAGAACCCAAATTTCGTGTGTGTTTATCAGTGATTTTGTCAGCCAGAACACTGGTAAATGCAGAAAACCATACTCCACCAAAGGGAATCATGTAGGAATACCCAAAAGGCATGCACATGCACATGCACACTTCAGACAGCCATCTGCTTCATCGCATGTTGTATAACTGGCTTCCCACCACTTCACGATAACTCCCAAACTGCCACCCTTCCGAAGCCCACATCCCCAAGCAAATGTCAGTTCTTTTCCAAGGTCAAGTGCCACATTTTGAGAACTACTTATATATATCCTGGGCTTCCCTGGTGACTCAGGCGGTAAAGAATCTTGACTGCAATGCAGGAGACCTGGCTTCCATCCCTGGGTCGAGAAGATCCCCTGGAGAAGGGAGTGGCTACCCACTCCAGTGTCCTTGCCAGGAGAATCTCATGGACAGAGGAGCCTGGCAGGCTGTAGTCCATGGGGTTGCAAAGAGTGGGACACAACGGAGCGACTAACATTTTCACTTTTCTAGATGTTTCTCAACCAGTGAATGGATGTAAAACTGCTTCTATCTTCATTTTATGCATCACTGAAACAAAAGAAATGGAGTCTCTCACAGTTCTAGAGGCCAGAAGTCCAAAGTCAGGTGTCAGCAGGGCCAGCCGCCCTCTGAAGGCTCTAGGGAAGAATCTCTCCTGGCCTCTTCCAGCTTCTGGGGACTCCGGGTATCCCCCGGCTTGGAGCTGCATCACTCACTCTCTGCCCCCACCCCCCGCCATCAGCACGTGCCTTCTTTGTCTGATTTTATTTTTGTTTATTTTTGGCCGTGCGGCATCTTCATTGCTGCGTGGGCCTTCCTCTAGTGGTGGAGAGCGGGGGCTACTCTCTAGCTTCGGTGCACGGGCTTCTCATTGCCGTGGCTTCTTTTGAGGCAGAACACAGGCTCTAGGGCATACACACTTCAGCCGTTGCGGCCCATGGGCTCCATAGTTGCGGCTGCCGGGCTCTAGAGCACAGGCTCAATAGTTGTGCAGCACAGACTTCATTGCTTCATGGCATGTGTGATCTTCCGGGATCAGGGATCGAACCCATGTCTCCTGCACTGGCAGGTGGATTCTTTACCCCTGAGCCGCCATGGGAAGCCTAGCACATGCCTTCTTATAAGGATACCAGTCATTGAATTTGGGGCCCACCTTAGTACGTTATAAGTTATACTCCATCTATGTGTGTGGCTCAGTCACGTCAGCCGTGTCTGACTCTTTGCAACCCTATGGACTGTAGCCAACCAGGCGCCTCTGTCCATGGGATTCTCCAGGCTGGAGTGTGTTGCCTAGCCCTCCCCCAGGGGATCTTCCCAACACAAGGATTGACCCGCGTCTCCTTCACCTTCTTACATTGCAGGTGGATCCTTTACCGCTGAGCCACCTTATGGTATAACCTGACCTTACCAATTACATCTGCAAAGACCCTCTTTCCAAATAAGGTCATGTTCTGAGGTTTGGGGCAGACATTAATTGGGAGAGGGGACACTATTCAACTCAAGATAGGCACCGGCTGGTCAAAGATATCACAAATCTTCCCAGCAGCCCTTTCCACATGAACCCTACTGCAGCAAGGACGGCCAGGGCTAGGGTTTGGACCAGGCTGATGGGTTCCAAGGCCTGGGGTGGACCTTCTCCAACACATGGCAGGCAGATCTTACCCGTTTGTGGGAAAGTGCCCTCAAGTTCCCCTCAAGTGTGAGGTGAAGTAGTAGGCCAGAGCCGTCAGGCCCGAGAGACGTGGTATCCAGGGAGACGGGCTTGGCAGGGTAAATCCAGAAAGCTCTCTGACCCCCACCGGGCCGCTGCGCTACAGGCCAGCTTGGCTGGCACATCTAGGGGGTGGCCCAAGTCTGGAGGGCGAAGGTCAGCGCTTCTCTCCCAGCCCTCTTGTGGGGTGTGCGGGCTCCCTGGAAGGCTCCCACCCACCCCACCTTCCAGAAACAGCCCTCGGGGACTTCCCTGGGGGTCCTTGGGCTTCCCTGGTGGGTTTGATCACTGGATCGGGGGAGATCCCACCTAGTAGTAGGAAATGGCAACCCACTCCAGTATTCTTGCCTGGAGAATCCCATGGACAGAGGAGCCTGGTGGGCTACAGTCTGTGGGGGTCACAAAGAGTCAGACACAACGGAGCGACTAACACTGTGGGTCCAGTGGTTAAGAATCTGCCACGCAGTGCAGGGCACGTGGGTTCCATCCCTGGCGGGGAAGGGGGATCCCACATACCTCAGAGCAGCTAGGGCCACGGTGCAACTGGAGAGCTCGCGTGCCACACCTAGAGAGGCCTGACCACGAAGATCCTACATGACGCAACTGAGACCCAAGGCGGCCAAATAAATAAGTAAATTAAAAAAAGAAACAGTCCTCTTATCTTGTCACCCACAGAACCTGCTCTGTCAACACCCACTTTCTCTCGCCGTTCAGCGGGACCCTCGCTTCCGGAATCTGTTTAACCTCTCCACTCCAGTGCTGCTGTCGGGGGACGTCTTCACCCAGCAGCTCTGGGACAGCCTGAGCCAGCACAAAGCCCCCTATGGCTGGCAGGGACTCTCCCACCAAGGTAACCTTCAGCCCTCCGGCCCCAACTAGTCCATTCCTCCCGCATCTGGGCCACGGTGCCCCTCTCTCCTCACTTCCTCCCAGCCAGGCTTCAAGGCTCGACGCCACAGCTGGGAGACTCCCTGCCTCTGCACCCTCTACCAGGGTCAAGGAGAGGGGCCTGGCTACCGCCCCACCCCACCCCCGCCACCAGTGGCTCTTGCCCTCCTGGGGCCTCCCTGGCATGAAAGATGGCCAGTGTCCAAAGGTGGCCGAGGATGGGAGTTGTGAGCCCTCAAACATCCTGCTGATGGATGCTGCTGGAAGAGACCACCCAGAGCCCCCTCCACTTTAAGTCAGCCCCTGCACCCCATCCCCACAGGCCCCAAATTATTTCCTTTTGGAATAAGCAAAGTCTTGGGAGGACTGGTTATCTGAGTTCTCGAGATGACTGGGCCACAGCCAACCCTCGCGCCCCACCACCCTCTTTGCAGGTGTCCTGCTCCCATGCACGTTTCACTGTGCCTCTCGAGAGGGGGCTGGTGTCAGGCCTCAGGCAGGTGCGGGGAGCCAGGAAGAGTCTCGGGAAGGCCCCTGTGCCCCTCACAGTGCCCCACCTTGTCCCACAGCCATCGCCTCCACCCTCAGCCTCCTGAACAGCTCAGAGAGCGCCAGGCTCTTCGCCGTCCCCAGGGAGCTGCTTCCTGGCTGCATCCGGTGTGCTGTGGTGGGTAATGGAGGCATTCTGAATGGCTCCCGCCAGGGTCAGAACATCGATGCCCATGACTATGTGTTCAGGTATGTGGGCCAGGGGCCAGGGAGGAAGTAGGAGAGGAGCTGGGTGGAGAGCTGGTCCCCAGCCAGCCCCCTGCGGGGAGCATGGTGGGTGAGGGTGTGGGCTAATGAAGCAGCAGCAGCCTCAGGCAGTTCAGCAGTTGTGATGGGCGGACAGGCGTGGACAAGGGTGTTAGGCAGACAGACCCTGAAGATGGCGCGAGGCTGTGGTCAACCCAGGGGACCCGGGAGGAAGGAGCTGCCAGGGCTGGCTTCACCCATTTCACAGGGCATCCCTTCAGGTGCCCGGTTGTCAGGATGGGGCTGGCGACCAGGCACTGGGGCTGCCGTGGGTAGAGGGAGTGGCAGAAGCCTGGGGATGGAAGTCAACATGCAGTACCGTGTAGCCACAAGCAGGCTGATGAGCCTCTGTCTGGACCAGACTCAATGGTGCGGTGATCAAAGGCTTCGAGAATGACGTGGGCACCAAGATCTCCTTCTACGGTTTCACTGTGAACACAATGAAGAACTCCCTTATCTCCTACTCGAACGTGGGCTTCACCTCTGTGCCGCAGGGACAGGTGAGGCCCCAGCGGGCACCATGGTCCCTGACAGTCGGCGCCGTTGTTTCCTGTCCGCCCCCCCCCATCCCACCATGGGGCGGGCCACGGGGCTCCCAAGCCCCAGCCCAGTAGATGGGCAGGTTGTGTGCCAGGATCTAGGGCCTGTGTGATGGGGTGCCCTGTGGCTCAGGACCGGGGCGCCATATGGCTCAGGAGCAGGAAAGCTCTGGAGTGGAGCATGAATGACTAATATTTTCTGAAGGCTTATGGAGTGCTGGGAACTTTACAGAGGTCAGCCCCCTCTTACTAGTAAGGGCACTAAGGCTCGGGGCCCCTTCGTTCAGCAGAGCGGCAGGAGAGCCGGACTCAAACCCAAAGTAACCCCCGACCCAGAGCTCAGCAGCACACAGCCAGCCAGAGGGTATTCACCGAGTGTCTCCTCCATGCCCACCCCAGACACTCACCACAGCAGCACCCGAGAACTGGAACCCGAGCCTGTCCGCTGCTTCCAGGCTCTTTCAACCACACCCAACTGCTCTAACACCACGCTTCCCCTTCTAGAGGGCTTCCCTGATAGCTGTTGGTAAAGAATCCACCTGTGATGCAGGAGACCCCACCTCGATTCCCAGGTCAGGAAGCGCCACTGGAGAAAGGAAAGGCTACCCACCCCAGTATTCTGGCCTGGAGAATTCACAATTCCATGGACCATTTAGTCTATGGGGTTGCAAAGAGGTGGACACAACTAAGCGACTTGTACTTTCTTTCCCCTTCTAGAGCAGGCTGGCTACCACATGCAGCGGGGAGGTCCTAGGATAAGGGTGCCGATAAGGGTGCTGTGGTGCTCAATAAGGCTGGTTTGAGTTTCCAGAAGCTTCCTCCTCTGACCAGGGAAGTCAGGGGTGTCCTAGCCACAGCATCCGTGCTCCGAGGCCTCTTTTAGCTCATAATGAAACAAGATGGCACAGTTTCATTTCTGGTGTAGCCACAGAACCTATATGCGTGCGTGCTAAGTCGATTCAGTTGTGTCCAACTCTGTGCGACCCTATGGACTGTAGCCTTCCAGGCTCCTCTGTCCATGGGATTCTCCAGGCAAGAATACTAGAATGGGTTGCCATGCTGCCTCCAGGGGATCTTCCTGACCCAGAGATCAAACTCACGTCTTTCATGTCTCCTGCATTGGCAGGTGAATTCTTTACCAATAGTGCTACCTGGGAAGAACCTGTAGGAGTTCTCCATAGCTGCATGACAAATGACCCCCAAACCTCATAGCTGTAAACAACAAACACTGCTTACCTTGCAGTTTTCATGGGTCAGGAATTCGGGAGCCATGTCCAGAGTCCAACCTGGGTCTCCCTCATTGCAGGCCGATTCTTTACTGTCTGAACCATCAGGGAAGCCCTTCCCAGATGACAAAGCAGGTAAAGAATCTACTTGCAGTTGAGGAGACACAGGAGATGCAGGTTCAATCCCTGGGTTGGGAAGAGCCCCTGGAGAAAGAAATGGCAACCCACTCCAGTATTCTTGCCTGGAAAATCCCATGGCCAGAGGAGCCTGGCGGGCTACAGTCATGGGGTTGCAAAGAGTTGGACAGGACTGAGTGACTAAGCATACGACCACTACCAGCACGTGGGACCCTAGTTTGCTGATGAGGGACTGAACCCACCTGCAGCCCTGTGTTGGAAGGTGGAGTCTTAACCAGTGGACCAGGGAAGTCCCTCATCAGAGTGGTTTTGGCTCAGGGTCTCCACTAGTCACAGTCAGGCTTGACAGGGGCTGCCGGTCAGCAGAAGGCCCGCCTGGGGCCAGGGTGAAGATGGCTCCCTCACAGCCCTCACCACGCGGGCCCCTCTGCAGGCTAATACATTGCCTCCCCGAGGAGGTAGCTAACTCGACCCAGAGCGAGTGATCCCAGAGAGCAAGGACGCTCCAGTGTCTTTTATGACCCCCCTCTCCAAGGGGGGGTCACACACCCTTCCTTACTCCCACTTTTTCTTATCCATTAGAAAAATTCTTAGTCCCTCAGTCCAGCCCACACTCAAGGGAATGGCAGTTAAGCACAGCTCCTTGAAGGGAAGAGTATCAGTGGGATTAAGTGCTGAAACCCTCAGTGGAACCTGAAAGAACAGGGCACCTGAAAGTGGAAATCACAGACTCAGAAGGGAAACGCTCCTGCCAGGGCAGGGGGCCGGATTGGGTGGAGGGCAGTCCACTCGGAGCAGGAAGCCCCCGTGACCTTGTCCCCACCCCTGACAGAACCTGCACTATATCTTCATCCCCTCGGACATCCGTGACTATGTGATGCTGAGATCCACCATCCTGGGTGTGCCTGTCCCCGAGGGCACCGATAAAGGAGACAGGTGAGCAGGCAAGCAGGGAAATAGGGCATGGTACTGCTCCCGGGTCCACTGTCGGATGGGAAAGGTGACTGAAGGCGGCCAGAAAGGCCCCAAGAATCCACCAGAGCATTAGAAGAGTAAACTCTTTTTTATCCTACCCTCGGGAAAGCCCAAGTAACGCTGCTGGTCCCCAGGGACCCTCCTGACCAGGTGGGCTGCAGGTTCAAGGGGCTCCTTTTGGAAGGGGGCCAGCAGGCCTGGCCCCTCAGCTTCAGCTGCGGTCCCCATAACCTGCCCAGCCCCCCAGCTGTCTTGCGGAGTGCATTGTGTTTGGACACCAAGAGTGGAGGCCAGGGCCCATGCCACTCCTTGGCAGGCACCCTCCCAAGACTGCCCATGAAATGGGAGAGCAGGCTACGTGGGCCCAGTGTCCTGCGGAGTGGGAACAAAGGGCCCTCTGTTTGTCCTCCCCCACCTCCCTGGGCAGCAGGCCCGCGTCCGGCTCTTTTGAACCATGTCCGGGCCTCATCTGAGCCTTCTCCCTGTGGTGCCGAAAACAATTTTCCGTCCCTGAGTCGGGTCCTCACAAATCTGCACCAACCCCTGTAGCCGCAAGGACCAGCCCTCCTGTCGCGCTGGCCCCTGGACGTCTCACCCACCCTCAAAGAGCACCTTCAGAGGCAACCCTAGGGGTTAAGCCCTCGAGGGCCAGGCCGGCTCCGCCAGCCCCGCCCTGGGCCCCGCCCGCACCTGCTGATGACCCAACAATCGCCTGGCAGCCACTCCTGGGAGTGGGCTTTGCGACCCAGACGGGACTGGCTCCTGGGGGTTGGGGGGGGGCTGGCTCAAAGACCTCGGGTGGACATTAAGCCTCCCCAACACCAATGAGCTCCCCCTCCCATTCCCCTAATCCCTCCCCTGCCCAGTCCCCCTCCCAGTCCAGATCCAACCACACTAACCAGCAGCCCTACGCCAACTCTGGCGGCTCCGCTCCTTCCCCGTCCCCCACCCGGGGGTCTTCCCGTCCCCCCTCTCACCCTGCCACCCCAAATGCCTCACAGCCTTCTTCCCGGGCCTCCTCCCTGGCCCCCAGCCCTCATGTCCAGCCTCGGGGGTCTTCCCAAAACGCCACTCCACCCGCCTCCAAATCTCCCTCTCAATCTGGCTTGAAATCCCTCTCCCGAAACTCTTCCCAAACTCCCCCCCTGCCTGGCGCCAAGTCCCCCGCCCACAGCCCCGCGCCCTCAGCCTCCTACATCGGGCTCGGGCCCATCCGGGGCATCCCGTCCCACATCGCCCCCTACGTGCCCCGCTTCATGAAAGAGACCCCCTTCTTCCAGCCTCCTACTTCGCCCCTCCCGCAGAACCAGTGCTTCCCCTGCTCCTTCCCCTGCCGGGTCGGGGACCGCCCGCGCAAGCCCCCAGACTCGCTGTACTTCCCTCTCCTCCCGCCCCCTCCGCACCTCCCCCGGGTCAGCTGCTCCTACCCGTCTCCCCCCGCCCTGTTCACGCCCCCCTCCTCCCTCTCCTATACCCCGCCCGCCGAGGTCCTGGTGGGCGGGAAGCCGCACGTGGTCCCCACGGTGCTGCCCGCCACCTTCTACACCCCCTTCTCCCGCTACTACTCCCAGCCCCGCCCCTACCGGTCCGCCCACCGCCACCGCCCCAGCTCCTTTCACCTCTCCTCGCTGCACAACCCGGCCTACGACGGCTCGGGCCGCTCTGTTCACTTCTACCGTGGGTCCTAGGCCTCAGACCTACTTTGGACCGGACTCCTCCGTCAGCAAATTCAAGCTGCTCCATCCAGACTTCATCAGCTACCTGACAGAGAGGTAGGTGCGGGCAGGGGTGGTGGCTGGGAGCAACTCCCCCCTCCCCCGACCCCCACCATTCAGCCCACACCTACCCGGTAGCACTGGCTTTTTCCCGGAAGATGAAACCCAAAGCTGGGCCATGTGCTGAGGACCACCCTGGCCCCCCCCCGCCCCCCACAGCACTTATACTGCTTCATTTACTTTTTAGTCCCTCAGTCCTGTCCCGTTCTTTGTGACCCCATGGATGGTAGCCCACCAGGCTTCTCTGTCCATAGCATCTCCCAGAAAGAATACTGGAGTTGGTTACCATTTCCTTCTCCAGGGGATCTTCTGGACCCAGATTGAACCCAAGTCTTCCGTTATTGGCAGGTGGATTCTTTACCACTGAGCCACCAGGTTAAATACATTGATGGAGGTGATGTTCTATCAGTCAAGGTAGACAGGAAATAGGAAACTCAACAGGCTTACTTACCAAAAATGTTCATCAAAGTTTAGGCAGGGCATAAAGGGACCACAAGTGTGGGGCTGTATGGGGATTAGTGGAAGCCAGTGTTCAGGCCCACACAGGATGACCCTGGGAAGAGCCTGGGGAACCCCTGCCTGCAGATCTCCACCCCCACCCCACCCTCCAACCATCAGTGGCTCTCAGCAGGAGGCTGGTCCACTGTCCTGTCTGGAGAGTTTTGGTTGGCACTAGGCGACCTGAGTGCCCCTAGTGGGCAGAGGCTGGGGATGCTGCTGAACCACCTACAACGCACAGGGCAGCCCCTGCAATGCACAACTGTCCGGCTGGAAGTGGTGACAGTGCTGCAGCTGGGAAACCTACTGCATGCAGCCCCAGGCTAGCACCTCAAGACCCAGAGCAGGCCAGGAGTGGCAGGAGGGTCTGGGAGGCAAACTGAAGACCACTCAACAGAGGAAGAACGGGCTGAGAGGCTAGGCGATTTGCCTGGCAAGGCCTAGATGAGAACCCAGGGCTGAGGTCAAGGCTCATGGTCACCATACTGTGGCCTCACTTTTGGACCATCTGGGTGTCTGAAATCATGTACGTGTGCATGCACACGTGTGCACCATCTCACTAGCGGCCCAATCACAGGACCTACGTGTACTCTGTCTTCATGTGTGGCTCCTGCTTGGCCAGTCTGGAGGTAGAAATTTAGGTGTCAGGTTAAATAACTATACCAACTATGCCCTAGACATTGTGGTGTGGGAGGGTGTTGCAGAGAGGAAAAGCAAGCTAGGCCGGATTCAGGCTTCTAGAGAGTGGGAGAAAGGGAAGAGTCTCACCTGTGGTTCTTCGGCAGGGCCTGTTCCTCCTCACTGCTTCTATTACCTAAGGTGTTATTTCAACCAAAGATTTTTGTGTATAATTCATCCTTCTCCAAATGACAGATGGGTGAGGGTAGAAGGGCCAGAAATTTTTGCCATTTTCCAACCTGCCTGAGTAGGTGTAATGGTACAACCCTCAAGCTAATGTGCAAGACCAGAAGTCTTCGTTGTTTTTCTTTATTTTGGGCTGCACTGGGTTTTCTTTACTGCATGGCTTTCTCTAGTTGTGGTGAACAAGGTCTCTTCACTGTGGGGTGCAGGCTTCTCATTTCGGTGGCCTCTCCAGAGTGCAGGCTCTAGGCACACAGGCTTAGCTGCTCCTCAGCATGTGGAATCTTCCTGGACCAGGGATTGAACCCATGTCCCCTGCACTGGCAGGCAGATTCTTAATCACTGGACCACCAAGGAAGTCCTCCGAAGTCTTTGAGTTTTGATGCTTCTTTTTGCTTCCAGGTTTTTGAAATCAAAGTTGATTAACACAAAATTTGGAGACCTATATATGCCTAGTACTGGGGCCCTCATGTTGCTGACAGCTCTGCATACCTGTGACCAGGTAAGAGGTCTGCTCTTTCAGGAGCCCACAGCAGCAGAGCTGGTGTGAATGGAACCTTATTCCATCCATGAGATCCTCTACGTGAGGCCTGCTAGCTCAGACCTGGGACTCTGGGCCTCCATCCCGTGACGGAAGGCTGCCCAGCTGCACGAGCCATCTAGGCTAGGGAATGGGGTGAAGGAAGTGCTCTCGGTCCCTTAGGGGACAGCCTTGGTCCCAGTCTTGCCTTCTTCCCCAGGGCCACCTTTCCCCGGGCTTGTCCTTTCACCCTCTGCCCCAGGGCAGCCACTGCACATGGTGTTTAAGGGACATACGACCCAAGTGCTCTTGTGAAAGCAAAATCTCAACCAAAGTGGGTAGGGTCATGTGTTTTGGAAGGACACTCTCAAACTGAGGTGGGCAACCTTCCACACGTGGAGTCTCTGAAATCACTCCATGAGCCAATTCTTGCTGGGGTGGTACCCACATGAGCTGCAGAGAAAGAGGCTGAGAAGCAGTTTTCAGGGAAAGGTAGTGGTGACCCAGGCACAAAAGCTGGAGGCCAAGCACCACTGGACTCTGGTCCCCTTTTCCATGTTTCAAACAGGACTCTCCTGCCTGCAGTCACTGTTAGAACAGGAAACGGGAGGTAAGGGGCTTTCTGCCTCCACCTTGAGCATAATGATCACAGCTTTGGTGTCACAGACCGGAGTTCAAAACCCAGCCCAGCTACTTACTAGCTTGTGACTGGGGACACATGTTTTGGTTATCTTTCTGAGCCTATTTTCCCATTTGTAAAATGGGGACAGTATCTAGTTATTTAGTTGGATGAGAAAATGTGCAGAAAGAACACAGGGCAGGTATGAAAATGTGGGTGAGAACGGTTGTTTATCCTCACCCTCACACAATAAGTTCCTGTCACTTTATACACTTTGCTTAGTCGCTCAGTCGTGTCCGACTCTGCAACCCCATGGGCTGTTGCTCCCCAGGAACCTGCCCATGGGGATTCTCCAGGAAATATGGAGTGGGCTGCCATGCCCTCCTCCAGGGCTGCACTGCAGGCACATTCTTTACCATCTGAGGCCAGGGAAGCCCTTCACACACAGCCGCTCAAATGCTAACTGTCCTTGTCCAGGTTAGCGCCTATGGATTCATCACAAGCAACTACCAGAAATTTTCTGACCACTATTTCGATCGAATGAAGAAGCCACTGATATTCTACGCAAACCACGACCTGTCCCTGGAAGCCACCCTTTGGAGGGACCTGCACAAGGCTGGCATCCTTTGGTTGTACCAGCGGTGACCCAAAGGCATCCAAGACTTATTTTTGCAGAGCTGTGGCCCTGGGACCCTCAAGTAACTAAAGCTACCTTCTTGTGTCTTCTATCCTTGATACCCACCTAACCCCTTCCCTACAGAGGACCGAGTGGATGTGTCAATGTCACTGAAGACTGCTCTTTGTGGGACACCCTGCCTTGTCCTTAGCTCATCCAAGGAGACTCCTCTGGGCCCAGGTAGACAACCCAACCTTGGTCAAAGAAAAAGACTGCTCTGCTGGGCTCATCTTTAAGAGAAAGAACACTCTCAAGATGAGACTGACCAGCGTGAGCATGCAGGCATCCTTCAGAGCTGAACATTTCCAAACCAGCAGTGGCATGGACCGACGAGGTCAGTGGAGTGGCTCAGGGCCTCTCAAGCAGCAGTAGAAACAAAAGCACTTTTCAGCCCAAATCCTCCCACTAGCATGTCCAGCCTCAGACTCCAAAGCAGTTCACCTCAAGGACATGTTGGAACAGCTTTTCTGAGAAAGGGAACTGACTGACTTCTGCCCCCTGATAAAGTGGGAGCACAAAAGGCAGAAAATCATTTGAAGTTAGTTAACTGCATAAATGATGGATAACCATTGTGTCTGTGTTTGTTGGGGATAGTAGGATATCACTCGTGGTGTTTAGCATGGAGTCTGAACCACCGCAAAAGTTCTGGCCTCTGATTAAAGGCCCAGTGAAGATGTATTACCACCCCATCACCAAAAGGACATTACTCGGTAACAAACCCTCATCACCAGACACTGACTATCAAGGCTTCAGTCATCTGACTGGATACAGGCAGCTTTTAGATTATGCAGGCTTCAAAGTGTAAATCAACTGAATGACCACTACACAGCTCCGCACACAAACCCTGGGTTTGACTCGTGTGGTGTTGCCACACCCTGTAAGGCAGGGGAGCGGGTTGGGGAGGTCTCCCCAGGGCTGGCTGGCAAGAGCCTCCCACCCAGAACCTGGCCTCTGGGCCCTGGTTCTGAAGGGTCATTCCTCTCCGTACAACACTCCTGCTTTAGAAACTTAAGATGGGTGATTAAGAGAAAGGACACTTAGGATTTAACTACTACAGCAGCTACTTGAGAAAGCATGGCTTCCTGATGCCTGGGCCCCTTTCCCCGCGTAGTTTATTTTTTCCCTATTCCCATCACATCTGTAGTTAGCAAAACCAGTCAATTGTATAAGATCGATTTAGTGAGAAACTTTAAACTTTCATTTATAAAAGAATGTGCTGATTCACAGAAGAAATCATTGCTCTTACAACGGGTCTCAATCTGGAATCCACAAATGCTAGTAAGTCAACTTTTAAATGTTTTAATTTGCTTTAAAGTTAAACCCAAGGCACACTGTAGAAATCCACTGAGAAATGTTTTTTTAGGCTGAACACCTGTTTCCCCTTAGTCTTCAACAGAGCGTGTACATGTAAGTTTCATTTTACAATCACGGCAGTCCCCCCACTGCACCAAGATCACCTAAACTCTGTGTGTGGTACTGCAAATGTTCTTAGTTATACCTTAATTTCCAAGAGGCAATCCTGAAGGAACTCATTCTAAACAATCTATCATTTTGCCTGTGTTTGTGTGTGTGGAAGGCACAACCAGATTGATGCAGTGCAGGCTGCTGCTGCTAGTGCAGGCTAATGGGTCCCAAATGACTCTTTCCAGGAGACGGTGATCTGAGGGAACAGAATCTGGCAAGGGTCCAGTAAAGAGCACCCACCAAGTGCTGGGAGCATTTATGTTCAGACGCCCTCTGAAGTCAAACATACAGGTTCGGGGAATCCCCTGGTGATCCAATGGTTAGGACTCGGCACTCTCACTGCCAAGGGCCGGGGTTCACGTGCGGCAGAGCTTAAAAAACAGAACACAAAAAACCCCTCCAGGTTCACTTGGGTCCCGCAGGACAGTCAAGTCCACTCAGAAGCAGACTGTAACCCAGCAGGTAGACCTTCCCACTTGTTAACACGTCCTTTCACTATGTTTTGCTTTAGGCTGTAGGCTGCTTGGACCAGTTTTCTAGTTCTTTAAGTCCCACCCCAAATATAGTTTCCTTGGTGACTGAACAAATATGTGACCTTACATATGAAGAGCTGCACATACCTCCCAACTTCAGCAGAAAAGAAAGGCAATCTGTGCCCACTTCAAGCGTGGCATTTCAATGGGAACAAAGCCCAGGGCCACTCTGCTACTCTCTTGCTCACAAGCCAGCCATGCCATTCAGACAAGAACTGGGCTAACCCCAGGAGAGTGCCCTGCGTGAACAAGGCACCTGGAAACCATGCTAGTGCCATGGTACCCCTTCTTTCCTGACATTCAGGATATAGTACAAAGGCGAGAGAGAGAGATCAGATTGTCCTGAAGTGTGCTCACTGCCACAGCCGGCATACATCTTCCATTGCCGTCTGTCTCAAAGAGCGCATTCGTTTTCTTAAACTATGTGACAAGCACTCTTTCATTCCACAATAAGAGCATAAGCCAAATCTGGGCCACTTGCCCATTTCTGCCACCTCTTATAGCCTGTGCCCTCAGAGCCAAAGGGTGACAGGGCAGCTCACCACTGGTTTTCAAGTGGCCGAGGGATGGCGCACCAGGACTGGGGTGTGGGAAGGGTATGTGAGCACAACTCCCTTTGGAGTGCGTTCCATCTGATCCCTTGTAAAGCCTGAATTGCTTGTAAGAGCCCAGGGCCAGCCCCTTAAGCCTCAGAACAGATTGTTTTCCCTCAATCGAGATGTTCAGACAGGGATAACTAAACATCACAGGCTTGTGGGAATTCTTTCGGACACGTACGATAGAAACAGAAAGCTTGTGCTCGCTTCGGCAGCACATATACTAAAATTGAAACAGAAAGCTTACATTACAAACAACCGGAGATGAACGGTTTCACTTGCTTTAGGTAAAGCAGGTCAGTTCTGTTTCACACGCTGCAGACACCTAGCAAAGAAAACAGACCTATGTCAAAGTCTCCCTGCCACTCAGCACAACCCAAGGGCCAGAGGAAACAAAAAGAACATCCACCCAGGCCTGTTTTCTCTATTACACACATGAGAGAAATTCCACATCAGGTCCAGGGCAGTCACCACAGCACTGCAGCCAGTGTGTTTTTCTGGAGTATCCTTTTCGGCCTCCAACTGAAGCTGTACCTGGTGAGGGGAAATTGCAAAGGAAAACCTATTCAAGAAGGTCCACATAAGTATCTCTCAGACAGCTCACTGTTAATTCAGGCATTAAACAAACCAAATAAACCAGGCCTCAATCTTCTCTAAAGCAAATTTGGGAAACTGAGTCTCAGATATCCAGAGTCCACACTCAAAGGCCTTTTTTTGGCCTTCAGACAGGGATAACTTCACATCATCATAGACTCAGATCCCCACCCAGCTGCCAATCCACAGCACAAGCAAACTATGTTTTCCTTACCAAATTCAGCTTTACTTCCTCTCCCGGGAACTCATTCAATCTTATCTACTTTATTAGAATATGCTTTCCCTCAAGGGCAAAAACTTTATATCTAGTGCCTAGCTGTACCCAGCATCCCAGACCTGACACGGTGACAGTTCCTGTCCTTTTAAAGCCAAGGTCTCCCTGAGCACAAAGTGTCTAGTAGCCAAGTATATATTTCAGCATCTTTGGGCTGTCAGTAAAAAATGCCTAAAACAGTGTGGATTATTCCTTTTGGTCAGACCACTGAAGGCCGGCTGAACAAAGAGTGCCTGATGCCAAGAAGAATCAACACCAAACAAGGTCACTTCTCCTTTGCTCACCTCTGTGTGCAAAATGATACTGCAGAGCAACCATGTGGCTTGCAGTTCTTTAAGATAGGGATTATAGATCTGCCCTGAGAGCTACTTAAAAATAGCCAGTACTATAACCTTGCTGTAATAAAAATCCCTGAGCTAAAAGTAGATCAGATCATCTCACTGTTCCTCCACATCGGCTCTTAAATGGCCACTCGTGATTCTTGGGCCACACTCTAGAGCCCTCTCACCCATCTTAGCATGGCTGGAGGTGGGGTCCAGGAACATTTTATAGGTGCAGAGCCAGGTCTGAAAAGCATCACTCCTGTCTTTTAGAAATGAAGAAACAAGGTTCTGGTGTGGTTACCTGGTAACCACATTTAGTGGTTAGTCTAACACTGGGTTTAGTGTTTAGTTTCAGTCTAACACTGGGTTTCAACTTCAACTCTACATTTTGGGTGGGGAGTTCTATGTCAGGGTGGTGGGGGACCTGTCACGTGCACTATAGGGTAATTAGGGGCATCGCCTGGATCCCAGCAACACCCTCTACCCCTAGTTGAGAACCACTAGCCTAACTCAATAACAGTTTGTTCAACTATATCTCAATAAAGCTTAATAATGTCCCCCTTCCAAAATCACTTATAGCTATATTTTTATGGTTCTTTAAAAAAAAAAAAAAACCTAGTTGTGTAACTTTGGGCAAATGAACTCACTAATTCAGTTTCCTTACTCAGGAGCAACATAGGGAAAACATCTACCTCATACAGCGTTGTAACAACCACTGTGAGGGTGCTTGGCAAAGGGTCTAGGAAAGAGTTCAAACTATTTCTCTTCTCTGGGCACTAAAAGCAAAAACTATTCAAGAAGGTCTACACAAGTGTCTCTCAGATAGCTGTTAATGTGTGATAAGACCCACACATCTCTGAAATGTAACAAGCCAACACTTAAAGGAACCATAATCTATGCAATTCTGTGAAAGTTAAAACTCTTACCATTTATAGAAATCTCATCACACGGATCCTTACATCTCTGGATGATGGTTTTCATGTGACTTTTTTTCAAAGCCCACAGTCTACATCTTTAATTTAAAAGAGAAATATGGATAACACATTAACAGGAACAAACTTAAGATATTCATTCCCAAAAAGTTATTTAAAACGTTGAGCCTCAGCAAGTTAGAATTCCTCACAATAGAAGTCTTTTCAGACAGGGATAACTTTAAATCATCCTCAGCTCAACCAGTAACCAACA